TTTAGTGGGCATAGGATTGGTTTCAGGGGCACTAACATGTAAAGACCGGCAGTTGAGGGTAGGGTGGTTGTCGTATTCTTCAAGTGCAAATTTTTGTGCTTTAAATTAACTCGTTATTTTCGTTGAATTTAATGTTGAGCTTAATATTTATATCGTAAAAGAGCCTCCTTACATCGTCGCAGTGTAAATGTAAGCTGTCAACTGTAAACGTCAAAGCTCCTCGCAAAGATCCCTTACGCACTCTAAACAATGAGACGTTTGGACTTACCGAATAATAAGAAAAACATTCCCATACCACGTCTCATATCAGCTTATATATTTTTACGGCATGCCTTAGTTCTTTTAAGCCTCAATACATCAGAGTGGTATGTGTATCAATAAGTACTAGTGGTTACCATTATACGTGTTCACTTTTAACTCTTCTGCATAACCCTGACTATATAATGATTGTTTTAATATTGTGGCAGACGTAATATCGGGATATTTTCACAATTTTTTTTTTTTGGATTTGTGATCAAATATATGGATATAATTTAGTTTTGTTTGTATTCTAGCCTCTTATAGGAAAATATCCAAAAAGGAACAAAAATTATTTCAGTATAATCTGGAATGGGGACTCGCCCCCTTGACAACCAACTGAATCATCTGAATTCATGTAATCTTCTCATTTCCAGTCCTCGAGATTCATGAAGAACTCCAGATTTAATAAATGTACCTTTAACTTCAAAATAAACTCGATTTAACAACATGTAAACAAACATGATGGCTTTTAGGTCTATGTATGAGTTATTACCTCCCCATGCTTCCTATCACTTCCGTTACTACGGTTTTATTATTGAGCGGCAAAATTAAACTCATAAAAAGTAATTTCACACACACCCGCTTCACGGATGATAAAGCGTAAACTGATCCAAACCAGACCATACTCGAATAAGAGTAAAATGCGTCGACAATGCAGTGTGTAAATAACGGCTTAACAATTAGTATGTAAAATGTCAGTTACCGTTTGACTTAATGATATACTAGTATTGTATTTGCTGACAAATTTAAGTCATTACGAGGGGGTATCAAAAAGTTCCTGGACTAACCCCATATAATTAAAACCACTTAAAGAACCTCAATTAATTTTAAATATTTAGCTAGCATATTCTTTTCTATCGATAGAATAAACCACAAATCAGAAGTAATTTTTAAATAAATCAGGAATGTTTTTAAAAAACAATTTATGTCAAGGTGTCAAATATACTTGTCTAACATGACGTTTTTTTTTACCTCTGTAATACTGAGAAAAACTCTTATTATGGACATTTGTCATCCAAAATCCCGTCAATTTAGGTATGTAATGGGACACTATTGTTTCGTAAAATATGCAATTTTTCATTATTATGTAATACCTAAGGAATTTTATTGTACATTTTGTATAAAGTATCTAAACAATCAACAGCTTGAAAATAATGTCAAAAAAGGGGAAGGGGATTCTTTTTCCAACATTCTTTAAAATTTTGCTACTTAAAAAAATTGGTAAAGACCTAGAAAATGTTTAAACTAGGTACAGAAAAATAAAATGCATCCAGTGTACTTGTTTTAATGCAAAAATAGATTGAAAGAGAAAAAAGGATGCACAGTCAATATCAATTTGAAGTCAAGGAGTGAAAAGTCAAATACGTCCAAAAATGACGTTGACAATGTGTGGTAGATAATGAACTCCAAAAATCAAAATATGCTAGCATAATCAAGAGAGGATCTCTCCTAATGTATAAATCTATTTGCAATATTATCAGCATTGAAAGCAGTTGTTAATGACATTGTAAAGTCATACAAAGAAATGACATTTTGAAGTCCTTACTCTACTCCGGAGAACCTCAATGAAGCTAAGTGTAAAAGGTAGAAGAATCGGTCATTAAAAAATAAGGACGTTGTCAAACTTCATTAAACTAAACGGCGCAAGCGCCGGGTGATCATTTAATATCGTTTTCATTTGATAATAATCTGGAAAATAATTAATGTATCAAGCTAAAATTTTCAACATTTCTTTATTTCTGTTATATTTCCTGATAAATTTTGAAAGCATGGGCAACATAGTACTTATTTTCTCGCCTCAGTTCACGAACTTATTGATAAGTCCTCGTACATCAACCATAAAACTTACAAAATGATGATTTTAAGCGAGACAGCTGATATTCATTTTTCATCAATTTGTTTGTCATTAACGTACCTCGTTTTATAAATTGTTCATACATTGATCATACGTATAGTTTTCCCTATTGAATCAACTGAGAGAATTGAAGCTAATTCATCAATTAAAATAAAATGAAGACTTTAAACGACACTATTTATATTCTTGTTTCAGCAACTATCTGTCAACAATTTACCTCGTTTTAGAAACTGTTCACACGGAGAGCATGCTCTTGCGTATCAAATCAATTGAGAGGTATAAATCCGGCATCCAGGTGATACGGTTATATTACTGTATAAGTTAGGAAGGTTGACGATTGAAAAATAAAGTCATCACGTTCATTTTCGTTTAAAATGAAATACGTCCCTATTTGTAAAAAAAGGTTTGTAGGTTTACATAACGTAATGGGTAAATATAAAGCTAACAAAAAAGCTTATCTTTAACATCCGTCTTTTATAAGTAGCTCAAAGCCACAGCACATCTTTTGTGATTCAAGAAGAAGGACTTTCTAAAAAATAAATATTCCATGTTGTTTTTAAGGTAACTATAGGTCTACAAAAAAGGCGCCTTCCAATTTAAAGACAAGTAATATTTTTTAGATGTTCTCTGCGCTTTTTTAAAATTTTGTTCCTGTCCTAAATCAGCGACATATGAGAAGGTAGCTTTCAAGCCCCATATTTCAATAGCAACTTTTTCAATAAAAAAAACAACTTTAGCAACATCAACAAAAATACAACAACAATTACCAACAACAACATAAATAATAATATGTAATATCAAAAATAGTTCCGTTGAAATATGAGATAACGAACAGTTTTCCAGCTCATAAGTCCGTTAAACAATATAAAATTAGAGCAGAGCAAACATGAAACTCCGGTGAGGTGAGATCAGGTCTGTGGACTGACCGGTCAAACCCGCCGTGTAATCCTTGTCATGATCGGGAAACAACAGGAAAATCCGACGACAAGTCTGTAAATAATAGCATAAAAATCAGAATGGAAAACGTCAGTCAGCATTTGATTTAATGATAAATTGTATTTGCTGACAAAGTCATTGCATCGAGAACTTATGGAACGATGTTTCGAAACGAGACTGTTACCAAAACTTAATATAATTCCACCAAACAATTTAAATTGTGACTCAAAGTGAAAATAAAAGTAGCATATAATTCCTGTGTAGTGGAATCTTTATTTCCTGTATAACTGATCATATATATATTCTTTAGGTGACAGTAGTTGGACATACCGGATATATATTTTGATGGCTAGTTAACGCGAGCTTTGGTATTAACCACCAACAAAGACACGGAAAAAGCATTCAACTATCAACTAAAAAATATCCGTACAATTAATTTTCTTGAGTAATGCAATTTCAAATGTAGACATATAGCATCTTAGAGTTTTTAGAAAAAGTTGTATAAATAGGAGAGTTTTCTCAATTATTATCACTATTTCTGAGGCTCTTGATATCAACCAAGGTAAGTTTTTATAAAATCATATTTTTGGTTTTATGATTCTCTTTTACACTTAAAAGAACAAAATAATTATTTGGTAGGCATGAAGACAACTGTTCACAAATACAAACTACCATTGCCTGAATAAAGTTAGCTAAACTTCATGAGTTTTAAGAAATACTGAAGCAGTGTTGAAAGAGATTTTCCTGTCAAAAATACTAAGTTTATCGATTTCATTATCAAACTTTTCTTTTAAATTGTTTTTTTTTTATTTATCCGATTAATATAATGTTACGTAAAAAAATGAGTCAAAATTATGCGTATAGTTTAGTAACAGAATGAGTCTGAAAATGATGTGTAAAGTGAAGATATGACAAGTAAAGTACACTGCAAAATAAGTAATGACTGCACAATACAAGTGCCAGACAAATAAATAAAGGTTGAATCTACCGTTTCGTTATTATCGTACATGCCAAGGTCACGTCACTTTATTTTAACGTAATCTTGTAAACAACATTCATTAGAGCATGATAAGGTGAAAAATGTGTCCTAATGGTGTTTTTTTTAAAGATTGTATTGAACTTTTTGATCTATCGACATTCTATTTTGGTACATGAAAAATTTATTAAACCTTCCATTGTCACTCTTTAACATTTCTGCGCACGAATACGATTAGGGTAAAAAGAAAACCAATATTTTCGTCTTGGCTCTACAAAGTAATTTTATTAACAAAAAATTTGTACGGTTCATGCGAAAATTCTATATTTGTCAATTTCCCGTTGTGTGCTTCACAGTGTTGCTTCAAGTTTAAACAAAAAAAAAACAAAAACAAAAAAAACAATGATATTAAATAAACTTTAAATTTATCGGTCAACCAAGGTTTCTACCTGTACTGGATTTTCAAACCTCGATTTATTCCAAAAATTCGAAATAAAAGACAGTACAGAATCTGCAACATCTGTTATTATTTACATCTTTATCTGTAAAGGGCCCACTGACCTAACAGCTAAATTATCTAATGAACAAGATAAACAACATGACTTCAGTTTTGCAATCGTCAACTTTCCTTTATTTAATAGAATATCTATCTACTTTTAACGGTTCCAATACATTATTCAGAATGGCATATTGAAATGAACTTTCGAAAACGTGAGATATCTGTCATCATCCTAAACTGTTTATTCTCTGTGACATTTTTATTAACGGTACTTTTACCAATTTCCGAGTAAGATATCGATCTTTAGGCCTATATCAATTTATTTAACGACTCCCATATAAAATAAAAAAGAACAAACAATGTATTTTTGTTCCTTTAAAGTTTCCCTCTAAGTATAATGGCTTTGCATTATTTGTCTATTATTTCTCTTTTTGACAGAATGTTTAAGTCACTGTGCTTCCTAGTCCTGCTCTTCGTAGCCCTTAGTGATGCCTTCTATGGTAAAGGATACGGTAAAAGCATTGTTATCCTCGGTGGAAAAGGATTAGGTTGGGGAGGATATGGCGGATATGGAGGATATGGTGGCTTTAGAGGATTTGGCGGTTTTGGATGGGGAGGAAAGGGATATGGAGGCTTAGGATGGGGAGGATATGGCGGATATGGAGGATATGGTGGATATGGAGGATATGGCGGATATGGTGGATACGGAGGATATGGAGGATATGGCGGATATGGAGGATTAGGCTGGGGAAAAGGATACGGAGGATATGGAGGTATTGGAATAGGATTTGGAGGCTTCGGAGGACGTGGAAAGGTAACCATAATTTTTTTAAATTCTATTTTGTGTTTAATTACTTTCGAATTGCTTTAAATATGTTTTATTTCTCAAATTTTAACAAAAGTTTGATTTTTTTTTTCAGGGCTACTATTAAAATTGATGGATGTTTATATTTTGGTATTGTTGAATTTTTTATAAAATAAATGATGTAAAATAATTAGATTTCAATTTACTGTTTAAATGATCTTTATTGTACAAAGGTTTGAACTTCCATATTAGGTGTATGAAATAATATATCAAGAAATACACTGCATATGGACAAGAAATCCTCTTACCGACACAAAGAAAATCTCTTTTTGACGGTTAATTACAGATATACAATGTATATATAAATATATATACATCATTCATTATCAAATGTGCATATTTATGAACTAACTACATAAAAAGGGTTATTTTTCTTTTCGAAGAGCTATAAACAAAGTATTTGTTTTTGTTTCATTAAAACCAGAGAAATATTTTCCCAAACAAGAACAAACAAGGTTAAAAATAATTTTTTTCTCTCGAGAAATACAAATCTTTGGATTGATTATTTACAAATAATGCAAGGCTTTTGATTATGGAAATCGGATCTACAAAACGACTTGATGACAAAATTATGCGACCCCTTTTTTGCGATGAATTACATTAAATCCACAATCATTCTGGTTATTTTCAAAAAGAAGTGAAAGAAAATGACACCTTCGTATTGTTCATAATTTAGAAGGATAATAATAATAATAATAATAATTATTATAAACTTTATTTAAAGAAGGTAACTCTTCCCCAGGGCCCTCTATACATCAATACAAAATATACAAGATACAATTTATCATATGTAACAGTAATAGACTTAAGGAATGACAATCACAAAATTATGAATAGAGTGTCCATGTACAGGCATATGACAATCACAAACATTGTAGATACAATATCAAAATCTTATTGTGCTCAAATAATTGTGCGACAGCTGATGATGTAATTTTCTACATTACGCTTAAATGCTCGTAGAGATTGAGATAGTCTAATGTGTTGGGGAAGTTTATTCCATAGATGTACACCTGAGTACTGAAAAGACGTCTTGAATAAGTTTGTACGAAATTTTGGTAATTTAAGATCATAATTAGTTTCAGATCGCAGGTTATAGGAAGTTGAAGAATGAAATTCAAATAAATTACAAAGATATTCGGCAGTCATTCCGCTGAAAATTTTGTATAATAATATGTATTTGTACAGATCAACTAGCTCATAAATAGTTAACCGTCCAAGTTTCTCAAAAAGTGGGTCAGAAGAAGAATCAGGACTTGCGTCAAGAATAATCCTTGCTGCCCTTTTTTGTAATTTAAATAGTCTGTCCATGTCCTGCTTGGGGGAATTACCCCAAACAGTCAAACAATAGTTAATAGATGGTAAAATATAAGCATTGTAATATAATTTCCTAGAATGAAGAGGGAGAAATTTCTTAATCCTACGAAGTGTAAATAACTTATAATTTAAGGTTTTGCAAACCGAATCAATATGATTAGCATACTGTAACTTATCATCAATATGTACACCAAGAATTTCTTCAGTTTCTACCATTTCAGTTGTTTTGTCTGAGGCATAAAGTTGCAAATTTGGATTATCTAGTTTTGATTTTCTTTGCTGTGTTCCCATTAACACACATTTTGTTTTATCTACATTTAATACCATTTGATTCTGAGCACACCATTTCTCAATTTCACAAAGATCTGAATTTAGTGTATTTTCTAAATATCTTGCATTATGTTGATTAGAATACAGAGTAACATCATCAGCAAACATATCAATATTTGAATTGTTTACATGTAAAGGAAGGTCGTTTATGTACAATAAAAATAAAAGTGGTCCCAGAATTGACCCCTGTGGTACTCCTGCTGTGACGGGTAGAATATTGGAGACACATGTTCCAAATTTAACACACTGTGTCCTATTGTAAAGATATGACTTAAACCACTTAATATCTGTAGGATAAAATTTGTAATGGGTTAATTTCTCTAGAAGAATATCATGATTCACCAAATCAAATGCTTTACTAAAATCTATAAATGTAATACCGATTAGTTCACCACGATCCATTGCATGAAGCCAATTTTCTGTTAGTTTTGTAAGGGAAGTTTGACGGGAATGGAGTTCCCTAAATCCCGACTGGGATTGTGTTAGTAGATCAAATTCATTAGTGAAATTTCGTATAAGCTTAGCTACATGTTTTTCTATAATGGGTAAGGCCAGCTAGATTTTACAATATTTTAAACGCTTAGGTAAAATTTCTCCGTTCGCATAAAGGAAAAATATAGTGAGAAGCCAAAAAAAAAAAAGAAAATTGTACTTCCTTGCTCTCATGTATTTCAATGGCGTCAAAAAGTGGGGCGAAGCCAAAACTGAATTGGGATTGGATGTAAGCATGTTGCCCCTACCCAAACGAAAGATCTATATCTTCCATATTATGTTCCTATTTTCATTAAAAGTAGTATTCCATTAGGGTCCACATATCAGTATTTAGTTGCATGCAAAAATTAGAGTCAAAATTTGGACATTTAATTTTTTGTCAATTTACCGGGACCGTCTGTCACATTATCCTTTAGTGTACTGAAAATCATGTGATTTGAAATTATAGTAATTCAGATGCAAAACTATAAACTAACAACAATATTATTCTGAAAGCTGCGCATCCTGATTGCATTGCTGCACAATTTTTGAAGAAATCTTGTTGGCTTGCATGAAATTAATTAATGAGATAAAGTCTGTAATGGCTGTAATGTACGTATTTCATGTTGCGTTCACAAGTGCAAGTCATTCACCTCCATTAGTCAGATGACTAGCGAATTACAGTAATGAGGAGTTTAATGTTGCTTTGATAGCAATAAAGGTAATAAAGGGGCGAATGACAAAGTTTATACAGCCGAGAGCCAACAGTAAAAATCTCTGAAATGTAAACGTTCAAAGTCAGTAAACAAAGTTAGTAAGTTTTATGGTCGATGCAATGACTTGTCAGCAAATACAATTTATCATTGAACTAACGCTGACCGACGTTTTTCATACAAATTGTTATGGCATTGTTTACGCACTGAATTGTCGACGGATTTTCCTGTTGTTTCCCGATCATGACAAGGAGATTCATGGTGGGTGTGTCCGGTCGGCAAGGGAAGCTCACTCCTTCATGGCATCTGATCCCATCTCTGATTTATTTATGGTCTGTGTTTCTCTGTTCCAAAATTTGTATTGTTTAATGGACTTTTGAGCTTGAATATTGTTCGGTATCTCCAAATATTTTATTCATTGAAATTACATGGAATGAATTTTCACACATCAATAAAATCAAAATCTCTTTTTACATATGATGAAATGATCATTTTAACTTGAAAATAGTGTAACAAAGATAGGCATAAGTCCTTGAATTTTTCAAACAACCCTTTTACGTGCACTGTTATTAATATTCTGGATGACTGCCATATGAGGTGGATTGATTTAGTCGAAAAAAGATATGATTTCTGTAGTTTTAAAAGGAGTTTGTTCGAAAAATTTCGAAAAATTATTTAAACTTTCTTTTTTTAATTACTCATCATTATATTTTTTAAAGGGAACAACTGGGGGTTCTATTGCGCAATACTTGCTTATCATAGCAAAATAAAGCGTATTTTTAAAGTAAATTTTTCACATAATTCATTACATTTAACAAATTTAAGAAATCACACGTTGGAAAAAAATCAGTTATAATTTTATATAACGGATTTTAAAAATAATTTTTCAACTGATAGGTAGGTTGGCGTTATGATGATTTGAAGCTCTAAAAGAAAGGACCATAAAATGTGATAAAAGAAAAAGTATTTAATATGTAAGATCTTGAAATTTGAAACATTGGAATTTGACATTCTCTCAATTATTTTCAAAATTTTTGTATAAATCCTTTGTATCTGTTACATTTTGTAGCACACCATAATAAACAGGGAATTTCATTTTGACATTTTGAGATGCCCCCTCCGGAATGGAGGTAGAAATTGTGTTTCTTACAAATAGATTATAGCATTAATTATCATATATTCTAAATTGAGAAAAAGGTCAATCGTAGTATTGGTATAATTTGCTTTAAGGAGGATCTCTACACCTACATGTATGAAATATAATTGATATTTGTAGTTCTAATAATAGCTTAGGCTCAATATCTGATAAAATAAGGTTCCAAAGTATTTCACTTTATTTTTGGAAATATTTTAAATATTTAATTCATTTTGTAAAAACCCCTTTCTTTTTTATCTTTAAATGCCAAGTGCTTTAAATTTCCATTCAAAGTTAATTTAATGTTATAAACTATTGAAATGAAGACCAAGAAAGTGATAAATAAAATGTACATAATTTTTATCTAAATCTTCAAAAACAGACAAAAAAACTAAAACAGCATTTTCTTGAGAATAGGTGGTAGGATTTCCGCCAATATCTGAAAATAGATATAGTATCATAGGGTTCAAATGATGACAAAAAAAAAGATATTTAATGAAATTGAAAAACTGACAAAAATTTTAAACATCGTAAAAATTCTTATGTGAAAGATCCGCTTCAGGAGTGCGCTCAAATACCTTGGTACTATTTTTCTATATACTTCAATTTAATTCTTCTAAAACTTGCTTAAGTATTGTCAAACACGGACATTGAAAGAAGTACGTATTGATTGTTTTCACATGAATTTATGCGAAAAACCATCACGTTTCCAGTCAAAGAGAAAGACATGTATTAAGCTAATTCACAGTATTGAAAAAGGTATATTTAATTACCGTTTTTATCCAACTTGTATGTTTTATCCTGTGTTAGAGATAATATGACATGTAAATGGTCAAAAGCCAGTGAAAGAAATTCCTATAACGAAATTCACACATCATTCTAAATCTGACGTCTCCCAAACAAACAGCTGATAATCAATGTTGACCAAATGTTTGAGCCATAAAAAATTCCCTTACTGTCGAAGTGTTTTGATGATTTCTTGAAGAGTTCAAATTTCACACGGTATAACCAGCCATTCGGGTGTATGCAAATCGTGAATAGAGTATACATATGCCTTATCTTTTTAAATTTGCATTTTGGGGGATAAATATCGCTGGAAAGCACATATGTTTTTGAAGAAAAAGAAATTTCGGAGTTTATGGAAATTTGACACGTAATGGTGAA